CCCAGTGTGGGCTTCTGAGGCAGCCACAGTCAGCACTGACTCACATCTCACATTAGGAGCTGGGATAGAGTTTCCCCTGGAGCCCTGCATATTTAATCACCACAGGCCTCTCCACACAGACACAAACATTCAAATCAACAAGCAGCTGAGGAGTGGGTCACTTCAATAAGCAAATGTGCGGCAGCAAAACAAAAACAAAAACACAGATCCAAAATCAGAGACAGAAAACACTGTTTGTCTAATTACTTCCATGGGATGATTTTTCTTTTGCACTTTAAGTGGGTAGGAACTCAGGCCGTGTGGTGCGCACTGAGCAGAGCAACCTGTTGCATGACTAATGTGCTGCTGAGCGGAGTTGTTCCAAGGTCTCCGGGGACATGTACTGGATTCTACCTTGCTAGGCGGATGTTGAAGGTGAAATCAAGACAAGGAGAACAGTCTGTTCTCTTAAACGTCCAGCAGCGTGATGCAAGGCAATCTGGATCTATAAATAGAGGCGCGGGCGAAAAAGACGTGGGAGCGAATTAACAGAATTAGATATGGACACAACAGTGGACGAGCCCGGAGACGGGTTCCTGAAAAACAGATGGACGTGTCCGTAAAAGGTACAAAACTACTACTACGCGAGTGCTTGCGCACGCAGCTGTGCATGTGTTTGTGAGCACTTGGCCTGGAGCTGCGGTGAGTGGTGAGCATCAAGGAGCAGGAGACGGAGGAGGAGGAGGAGGAGGAGGAGGACCAGGAGGGCAGGGGGAGTAACGTGAAGCCGGTGTGGGGCTAGGATTACTGGGCCGTCTCTATTTCCAGCGCTGCTGTCGTGTGATTCACACCGTGCGACAGCTGGGCCCGCAGCTGCCCCATATATGTAGAAGAGCGCCACAGCTGTGAAGCTGCCAGGAGCACAGGAGCCAAGCTCATCCTTCATATACGTAACCAGGACTGCTCGCCTCCCTGCCTGCTTCAATGTCTGCTTGGGCCCCAGCCCCAAATACTATTACACTGCCCCAAAGGAGCAAAGGCAGAGGGAGGAGAGAGGCAGGATAAAAGCACGAACACTTGCTGCTGCCGCTGCCGCCGCCGCTGCTCTGGAGCTCCACGCCGCGTACTCCGTTCTCTTTCCTCACGCCGACGCCCATTAATCTTGCCCGCCCGTGAATCCAGATCAGTTTCTGTGGCTACATTAAACCTGTCCACATTTTTCTCTGTACATATTCCCTCAAAAGTAAATTCCCTCGGCCAATAATAGTTTTCTTCATGTAACTACTTAATAAATGTGACAAAGTGAATTTGTGCCCACGCCTCCCTCCGGAGGCCAACTGTGGACTGGCTTTTCGCAGGTTGGATATCTCCCTTTTCTCTACCTCTCAGCCTCACTTTCTCCCCCCCCCCCCCCCTATCCCCCCCCCCCCCCGCTCTGGGTGGAATATTCCCAGACGTTACAGCATTCCTGTGCAGCACACACAACAAGGTCATTGTTTACTGCAGAACAACCTGTAACACTGCCTGGCCCGCACTCCACAGAGGAGCTCGCCAGCGACCCTGTTACCATAGCAACGCCCCATGATGTCTCCCTGCTCTCTGATGCCGAGGCTGGAAGTGTCACACACTGCACTGCTCTTCCTTGGAGCAGAGTGAGAGAGAAAACACAGAGGGTACAAAAAAAAAAGTACAACATTTTTACTAGCCTTTTTTTTTTTTTTTCCGACCCACGCAGGTGAAGGTTAGGTTCACCTGTCTGACTGAAGGTCACTGCGAATATCTAATAATCCAAACACACGGCAGCAACTTAATGCATTTAGCTTTGGAAGAACAGAGAACGAAACCAGCTGAAGTTCAGAATAAACATCAGAACACAAGTTTAAAAACCTTAAAAGACTTGGAGAATTTCACCAAGATGGTGGTGGTGGGGGGGATATTGTGATTTAATACCAGGTCAGCATCACTTTAGAACCACAAAGTACAGATCTTCCGACCACTTCAACTAACAAGACGGCGTAAAATTTAAGTTTCATTTTCCTATTTTTCAGCAATGACCAGATCTTTGTGTCCGGTACAGCGTACGAGGATCCAAACTTCACCTCAGTTTCTTGCAGTTGTTCTCCTTTTTCACTGTCACTGCAGGTCTGTCAGGGCTTTTATTTTGAAAAGAAACACCGCTCCTTGGAACTGTGTTCTGATTCCTGCCGCGCTGCGTGCTACGAGGTTCTGTTTCACATGTGAACAGTTTTTATCTCCAAAAAACCTGTGGTTTGTGACACCCACTGTTCTTTGTCCACTATTTTGCACCAACCCTGGAGTACGACCGCCACCCCCCGCTCCCCCATACTTCCCCCAACACCCCTGTTCTACACAGTGACCACTTCTCCAGTAGCTTTTGGATGAGGTTCAACAACAGACTCGCATCATGGACGTGTAGTTAACACATCTAGAAATACTAAGATATGAAGAATTATGAATAATTTTTTTTGCATCTGGATGTAAGGGGAGGTGGGGGGGGGGGCAACCCAGTGTACCTAACATTGTGGCCAGTGAGTCTGATTCCTTTACTGCCCTGATACTGATGGCTTTGTGTGGCTCTGGTTCTACCCCGGGTCAGGTGAGGCAGCAGTGGGAGCTGAAACTCTCCTGGTGAAACACAACAGCTGTAACCAGTGTGTGTGTGAGATGTGTGTGTGTGTTTCCTAGGGGCGGAAGCTCACATTTCCTCATCTGCTGCCAACCAATAACTCCTCCTCCTCCTCCTCCTCCTCTTCTTCTTCTTCGTCTTCACACTCAAAGAGAACATTCCAAATGTAGTCTAAAAACAACGATACGACAACTGTGTCAACGCGGACTCTCCACTTCCGGAAAAGCATTTTTATGGCCAACAGGCGGGGGTCTCACACAGACACTTGTGCACACACCCCCCCCCCCCCCCCCCCACACTGCCAACACTCACAATGCAGTATCGTGTTACACGGCCCAGCGAGACACTTGTCATACCTGCACGCAACAGAGGGAGGCCACACCCACCCCCACACAGCAAACACGAGAGCGGGCGGCCCCGCCCTGAGCACACGGCACACACTCATTAACTCCACTTCAGATTGAGATCTGAGAGGCAGTTTGGGGACAGCTGCCCGTCCTTACACATGCTTCTCATCTCATCTGTGGTCCAGCAACACATGCTGCAGTTGGACTCCAGACTCCAACTAGGATTAGACGCTGAGCAAATATTGAGAAAGTCTGAAGGAAAACAGCTCCTCAAAGCAAACACGTTTAGACAAACTGACCAGTGACGGTGAAAACAAAGTTATTATGACGTAAATGTACAGAATGCATTGATTTTGTGAAAAAGGTAGAATGATGTTAGAAGTAATAACCTGAGGTCGCAGGGAAAACAAAGTTGTGTTTTGATCTTTAGTTACACCGCCTTCTGCTTTCACTTTCTCGTTTTCTGATTTTATTTTTATGTGGAACAAACTTTTTTTGGGGGTCTGGACAAAACCAGCAGGTGGCAGTAATGCAAACTCAATTCTCCCAGATGAAATTTAAAACCCAGAGAAGAAGTGTGATGACCTGATCTTAGCACTGCAACGGCAAAGTAAAGGTCAGTTTGGACAAGAAGGTCGTATTTTAATTATTGGATGTAATGGGTAAAAAACGTTTTGTCATCATTGGAGGAACAGATTTCTATGATCTCTATAACGATGTTCCAACAGACACAGAGCTACTGTTTATAAACTCTGAATTTCAAAATGGCTGTATATCATATATACAAGTCTGAACATCTCCAACTCCAACTGACCCCGTCCTAAGGAGTTAGCAACGTTGAACATTAACGTCAATAACCCTTGCAGGAAAAGACCAGTGTCCTCTTGTGAGGTTGTTTAGGATAAAAGTGTCTGCTAAATGCATAAATGTATTTGCCTATGACAGTGTTTTTCAACCTTGGGGTCGCAACCCTGAAAACTGCCTGAAATGTCAAGTAATGGATAAAAAAAAATGTTGATTTCAATACAAGCTCACCTTCAGCTCCTCTGTATTTTCAACACAGTATAACAAACATGATCAAAAACTGATTGTAGAAATGTCTGTGGGAGTCACCAGAAATCTGTTATGTCAAAATGGGATCACAAAAAAAAATTCTATGTCATGACAGGTAGAATTAAAAACGATAAAAAGTTGAATTAAATCTGACCCCTTCTGCAGAACTCAAGAACTGCGTGTGTCAAATGCAAATTTCAAACAAACACGCAGTAAAAACCTGTTGGAAACAGGAGAAACTCTACAAAGACAATACACAATCAGCTCGATGTGGTTCAACCAGTGGGCCCAACAACAAGCGTCACTTCAAAAGTAACTTGAAACCAACTCTAGGAATTCAACCGGACGTGAAATTTGAATCCACTCAGATTCCTTTTGAATCCATTGTGATTCAAAACAATCAGATTTCCTGAATAAAACCATTACAACAAACACTCACCCTCCTCTTATACAGTTAAAAACAAATCAATCAAAAAAAGAAATACCTCGGGTGCCAGGTACTCCGGCGTCCCACAGAAGGTCTTCATGGTGGCACCGTCTTTGATCCCCTCCTTACACAGGCCGAAGTCTGTGATCTTTATGTGTCCGTCTTTGTCCAGCATCAGGTTTTCCAGCTGAAGACAGAAAGACAGGAGTTCACGCATAAGGAAATCACTGGTTCTCCGACTGCACTTCCTCCTCGAGGCGTTAATGAAACTGACATCTGAAATTTCTCGTGTGGCTCATGACGATGCATCTGTAATGACCTTTGACCTCAGACGATGGCTCAATGAGAACGAATGTGATGTAGAGTCACCCCCCCCCCCCAGTGATGATGATATGAGAAATTGACAGCCCTGGCGTAGACTCATGAGAGCATCATTGAAATCAATATAAATATTTCTTACTGCCAATAGAACAGTATGATTTCATTATGAAATATTTACACCTAGACTTTTCAAAATTCAGTTTTAAAAACAGATTTCTTTTTTTTAAATTAAAGTAAAAACTGTAACGTGTCTTTGACTAACCTCTTCTGAACATGACGATCAGACGAGTGCAGTGATATTTGACACATTTCTTAGACAGGATTAATTTTCCTGCCACAACCTGTCCTACTTCTTCTACACTAATTCTTGTTAACAGAAAAAAAATGTCATTAAAGGACGTTGACCAAGGACACATCAGCAGGATGCAGCCGGATTCAAACCATCATCAAAAATCTGGACATTTTTACTATTTTTACTTTGCCCAACTTCTACCACAGTCATTTGGAAAGAGAAGAGAGAACTGAGCAAAAAAAAACATTTTTTTTTTGCTCAGTTTTCTCTTCTCTTTCCAAATTCTTCTTCTCATTTAGTCCAACGTACACACCTTAACGTACCCACGCACGCACATGGAAATGATCCTTGTCAAGAGAAGTGTGCTGCGGAGGAAAGTGATCCGAATGATGTGCATCACACAGTTTCATGAGCGGAGGCCGCGCAGTCGTTTAATATTAGCTTCTCCCCTTTCTCAGTTCAAGTCACCTGGCAGCTGTAGCTCACACGTGGCCAGCAGCGCCCGGCCGGAGTCAGCACATCCCCCAATGCTACTCTGGCATTTTCAGGAGAGCCCTAGCAGGCTGGGAGCCTGCCTCGTAAACCCAGGGGACAGAGGGAGGGAGTGAGCGCTGTGCTGACCTGGCTGCTATACTTATATCAGCTGGAAGTAGAAGTCCCACAGATGCCACTGCAACACCTATAGCCTTCTAAAATCTAATCATGTCTCATAAGTCTGCGGCGGCCATCTTGGATCCCTTTTTTTTTATATGAGTATAAATCGATTTATATTGAAGAAGAAGAAGAAGAAGCAGCTGAAACCTCGGGGGCTCCTTTATTTTCAGATGCTTAGCAGATGTTGATGTCTTCTTCTCCTCGGCCGCCGCACTGCCAGATCATGACGTGATGTCATCCACTCAAAAAGTGTACAAATATCCAAACTCCACACACACACACACACACCCCCGCGCCCCCGCTGAGAAAACTATGAGTATGCTTTGATGGAGAGCAGCGGTGATCTGCTGGTTATTTCTGTCCAAGTGCCGTTAGTGTTGTGTGAACTGAGTCTTCAGTCCTCCAGCTGCTGTGAGGTCTGGAGACAGATCTGGGGGAGGCAGATCAATAAGGCCTGGCCACTGCTGCTGCTGCTGCCGCCGCCGCTGCCGCCGCTGCTGCTCTATGGAGGCAAACCCTATTTATATCCTGGCAGAGGAGACTGAAGTGAAAGGTGCGTGTGTGTGTTTGTGTTTTGAGTTGGAGTCAGCAGCGTGAGGGGGCGGCAGAGAAAGAGGCTGACAATGAGGATGTGAGAGTCATGACATGTTCTTTTTTTCTTCTGTTCTGTCTCTCTCGCCTACCTTCAGATCTCGATAGACCACATTTCTTTCAGCATGCAGGTAGTCCAGCGCCGACACTATCTCTGCACCGTAGAAACGCGCCCGCTCCTCCGAGAACACGCGGTCTCTTGAAAGATGGAAGAAAAGCTGCAGGGAAAAAAAGGGACAAAGAAGACGTTTGACACTGACCGGAGCAGGAGCAGGAGGTTCAGGAGCACACGTATGAGCGGTGATTTTAGAAGTGGTTTACCTCACCGCCGTTTGCATATTCCATGACAAAACACAAGCGGTCGTGAGTCTGGAAAGAGTACTTCAGTCCCTGAGGGAAGGAAACAGAAAATGATCAAACTGAAATGAAACGTCTGCAGCTGTGTCAAAAGTTGAGACATTTTAAATCCTTTTTTTTTAGGAAGGAAAGTGAACTCCTTGTCATTGTGACACTGCATACAACCAAATTCGACCTCTGTTTTTAACCCATCACCAAAGTGAACGGGGGCAGCTGTAAGAGCAGTGTGTGGGGACGGTGCCTTGCCAGAGCACCTCAGTGGTAACTTGGCAGCTG